TTACTGTAATGAGAAAGTTTACCTTACCGTTTTCATGAGGGGGAAAACCTTGAATTTTGAAGAACAAAGTCATTAGACACCTAGCTCAAAAGTCGAGAAAGGTCATTTCCCGCCATCTAGAAATCAAAATTTTCCTGGGGGAGGAATGTTGACCCCACCACCTAGATTTGATTCCAGATTTGCATGATTCATATTCCCATTCATCTTATAAGCAGTGGCGTAACAGGCGGGGGAGGGGGCAGGGGGCAGACTGTCCCCCCCCCCTGACGGTTTTCACCGGGCTGACCAAGCCGTCGTACCGGGCTGGGTAAGAAGAGAAAAGAAAGAGGGGAGAGGGAGGGAAAGAGAAAGAAGGGGAAAGAGAAAGAAAGGAAAAAGGAAAAGAAAAAGAGAAAAATAAAGGCAAGAATAAAAAGGAAGATATAATGAACAGATATCACAATACCCCGGCCTGCAACCCCTTCTCCACTTCAAAAAGTGTCCATATCGCATTTGATCTAAGCCGCCAGGTATTCTATCTCCGCAGTGGCGTAACCACCGGGGGACAAGGGAAAAATATCCATCTGTGGAAAATCTTTCCCCATTGAATGCCCTTTTCACCCGGGAAAGTGCCTGAAAATCTCAAATTTTAAATCGCATATTTTGTTGAGGTCGGCCAATTTCCTCTAAAAATAGCACATTATAGGGAGTTTTGATCAATTCCGACGAAATTAGAATTTAGAACAAAAAAAATTTTCACGCGCTTCGCGCGCATTTTTTAATGTTAAAGATTGTATTTGCTCTCCTTTGCCTTCTAAGTTATAACAGATAGTCCCAAACTCAAAGAAAGAAAATTTAAGATCGTTTTATCCTAAAAGAAGGGCCTCAATGTGTAATGATGTTGAAAGAATATGTTTGTAATAAATAAAGCTATAAGGATAATACTTATATTCAGTTTAAAAAAACGAGTGTGGCCATATATAACATAAGAGCATTTCTTGTTGAGGTAGGCCAATTTCCTCAAAAAATTGCACATTTTAGGGAGTTTTGATCAATTCCGACGAAATTAGAATTAAAAAAACAAAAAATTTTCATTTGTTAATGTTACAGCTTGTGCTTCCTCTCCTTTGCCTTCTAAGTTATAACACATAGTCCCAAACTTGAGAAAGAAGATTTAAGGTAGATCGTTTAACCTAAAAGAAGGGCCTCAATGTGTAATGATGTTGAAAGAATAGGTCTATGATTGTAATAAATACTAACCACAATGAAAATGCTTATATTTAGCTTCAAACACACGTGTGTGGCCTATATTAATAATAAAATAAGCCCTATGTCGTATTGTTTTCTATATGACCCCTGTTACACGCCTGCTTATAAGTGGCCCCCCCCCTTTGAAAAACGTTCCGCCGGCCCTGATTCGTTCAATGCATGGAGTTATAATTATTTTGAGAGGAGAGAGCTCGAACGAGGCCACCCGCGGTAATCCAATTATAAGGCTGTGCGTTATCATATTTTCAAAGGCGGAAGCGGTCTACCGAAGCCTGCGGCGTGCAGTGCCTGTCTTTCATACCTACGTAAGCCGCCGCTTCACACTCGGCCTTCTATCGCTTTATTTACATCCAATAGTTGTGGAGCAACAATAATCAAACACACACATATCTTCCTTGTATGCGCATTAGTGTATAAAGTCGTATATTTGGTGCGTAGTGACCTTTTTTAAATTCACCGCGAAAATGCCTTTGTTTTGGTACCAAACACAGGATAAATGCGATTTCTGAAGTGATTTTACTAGTTCAGTGGTATTTTTTCGGTTTTTCCATTATCTGTTTCTTGCTGTTTATATTTCTTCCAATTAAAATTGTTTAGACAACCCCAGACATCTGAAATTTCGTCACAAAAAGGTAAGATTATTGCAGAACTTGAAATTATTAATTTTGTTGTGGCCATCCAAAGCCGTCTCGAGATGGTTTTATTATATTTTTATGATGTTTACAATTCTTAATGTGACTTTAATTTATATATTTTTTTCAATAGTTATTATTTAAGTAGTTTTATATAGTGTGTAGGCCTATATATAAAATGAAAAAGAGGGCCGAGTTAACCTGCCGGGCGGAGTTGACTGGGGCCTAGTTGACTTGAAAGCCTTGTATTAAGCGAGCGGTATTGTATTATTAATTGTGAATGCGTCATCAGCGTTCCATACATATACACGCATTGGCGGCCGTTCTGGAGAGCGGCCGCTATAGGTAGTGGCCGATATGGGCCTACTCCCTCGAGATATGTTCAAAAATAGAGAGGCCTAAACAAGAACTCGCGGCTTAAATGTCTGTAAGAAAGTATAATACATACTCCAAGTATTGGAAATACACGCCATCGTGTTGGGATTCAATATTTCGACATTAATTATGTCATCATCGGGAATGAAAAAATTATCCATATTAGCAAGCTTATATGCACTAGTACCAAAAGTGTAATAATCAATAGAACGTGTAAGAACCCTAACCATATAATTACTAACTTAACTGGCGAAACATTATCTAAGGAAGAAGAATCTGTCTTAACATTTGGTATCCGTAATGGATTAGCTACACGACCTAAGGACTCTGATATGT